CTAAAAAAAAAAAATTACAAATAATAAATTAAATATTTAAATTGTAAATGGTAAATGCATACTCTTCATCTTTATTTTGAGTAATATCAACAAATGGATCAAAATATTGGAAAGGAACTTCAATATTTTCATTAACAGTAACGCGATATATACGACATTGTTTAGCATTGAGTTTTATAAATTGAAGATTATTTTTTAATGGTATAATAGTTAGCTCAACCATTCCCTAAAGTAAAATAATACAATTTGATATATATAATTATTGTTCCAAAAAAATAATAAATTAATACATATATTTACTTACCAATATATTTTTTCGCTGAAAACTAATACCTGTTAAACTAACCAACTGATGGGCTGTAAAATTTTAAAAACATTTATATTATTAAACTATGTAATAGTTCAAAATAATTAAAATAACATTTAACTCTATAAATAAGTAACAATTTTAATTTTATAGTGTAATTTATGAATCTAAAATAAAATTTAATAAATTAATGCCATAACATGTATATTTATCTAAGAAGATTTTTAGAAATTATTTAAGTTCAATTTATTTTTAGCATTGAGTTATCAAATCGATTTTTAAATAAATATCTTCAATATCTCAAAAAAAGTTTCCAATTGATCAGAAACTGTTTACTTTTTCACAAGGTTTTTATAAGTGTAAAGCAGGCATGTCAAACGTACAGAAACCCTTAACTTAATATTTTGCTTTACAGCCACCAAGATCATTGGAAAATAAAGAAAATAATAAATAAAATTTTTAATTAGTATCCTATATTAGAAAGAAATATAATTTGGTTTACATATTGTAATACATATATACTTTCTTAGCAAAAAATTGTTATAATTTATATAAAATTTTATTTTTCAATAATTTTTAGTGCTGCTTGGATAATATTCTAATCAATATTTTTGGCATAGTTGATACTTTATATTTGTCATGCCTAATCCAAAATGTAGATTTATATTAATTCAAAGCCAATAATATAAAATCATGTATTTGAATTATTTAGCAAATTCAACAAGAATTGGTATTCTTAATAAAACAGTTTTACTGTGTCATTGGAGATTAATATAATTTCGATCATAAAATACTTATAGTTTATAAGGTCTTGCGTTGTCTCCTGTTTTATCCTTCTTCATGGTGGTTAATGCGTGTGATTTCAAGTAGTTCTGTGGTATGATCGATGTCTACAACACTAAAAATCTAAGTGACAATTGTCGGCACATCATTCATCAGTTAATAATATAAAAAATACTTATTACACATATCGTATTAAAACGTAAAAATATTTTGTTAGATTTAAGAAGAAACTAGAAGTGTAATTATTAATCGTCCGAAATTTGATCATACAATGAACATCGTAACATTTGAAATCATTACAAACCGTAGTCTGCTCAACGCTCACTGTTGTCCGTTGACTTGAGTTTTGAGTGTTTTGGCTATAACAACTATTTAATCTTTATAGTCTATTATCATTTATCACGTTAAACATTATCTTATAGCAGTGGTTATTTTCACGTCCGACGTGAAAGCATTTGTTTTCACTTCCTATCCTGTGATTGGTCGAATTATTGATAAGAAAAATATTGATAAAGTATTCAAATCCACATAATTTTGAATATTATAAAATACCCAAATGCTATTTATATACCTATTTTATTACCTACTTCTTGATAAAAAATAAAATACTGTTTTGATTATTGGTTATATATTGATAAAGCTCATAATTTTATGTAAATTTGTGTAAATTTGTTTTACTGACTTCGCAAAAATTTCAAAACCATAGTTTGGATTTCATATTAGCATTTACTCTAACACAAATAAAGTGTAACCATTCTAAACATTTGTTACAACAAATGAATTTAGTCGCAGCATCTTTAGCACATATAGGACAGATCTAAGTAGGTGCCAATTTTTTAATTTGAATGACTTGCTGGATTGCAAACCAACTTCCTTTCAATTATTATTGACTTATCCATAATCGCATTTAAAAACCAATCACATGGCAGGACGTGAAAATAACCACTGTGTAAAATAAAATACATATAACTACGAACAAGTGTGACGATTCCGTAATATAAATGTCGTTAGATCAAAACATAAATGCTATTAATATTATAGTCATAGTGTTCATTGTTCTATACTCATAGTCCATAGGGCATACTCCTTATAGTGGTTTAGAACCTTATTCTATAGTATAAGGTCTATGGAAACACTATATAGCGATTGATTAATAGATATAGATCCTTATGACTTACAAACATATAAGATTATCAGGTAAATCAGATAGTCTATTAGCATTATTTATAGAATAATCTATTCTATAATTAGGTAATGCTATTAGTATATTTGATAGAATAATTAAAATATACAAGGCATTTAAGTATGTATCCATACATATAGATAAAATATATATTTATTATTAACCATGGTGATACTACCTAAGATCTAAGTGACTATGAGTATGGATATATCCTTTATAGATATCAGATAATGGATAACTATGGATGCGATCCATTGGATGGTGTATGTTTTAAGTACGGCTTTTAATATGTTGTAGTCATTGTACCAATATTTGTACCTCACTATTCTTTACTCATGAGGCCATTGATCTAAAATCTAAAGTACCTATCACTTAGTTTTAATCCATGGTATCTAGAATTTAGATAGGTACTAAAAAAAAGTATCATAGGTAATAAAGATAACCTACGTCCTACAAATAAATAATTTTTCACCAAAAAAAGTGTCACTTTCTTATTTTATCATTTAGAATTACCTATATGTATTTAATATTGTTTTGATAGATAGTTAGTATATATCTAACTACACGCCTAAGATATTATAATAATCACAAAAAACCGTTTTACATTTATCGAGTAGGTTACCTATTATAAAAAATATAGTTCAAAATTTTAAAAATGTACAAAAAATTAAATATTAAAATCTGAATGCATAATTGAAATTATTTTTGTAAAGGAAAGACGTTTTAATAATATCTATAAGAATTAATACTTATTGAGAATAAATTTTCATTTGTAAAAGAAATTCAGTCAGGAATTAATGATTTAGTGATCCATTTCTTTTTGTTTTTTTGGCTCGTCGTTGCAAATTCCTAAAGACATTTAATTGTTTGATTGTGAGATCTTATATAGGTAAATAATAATATGTTTATTATAATTAATTGTAAGATTTATAGATAATGTAGTGATAATAATCAGGCAGTCTTATATTCTTATTTTTCAGTTAAAAAAGCACGTCACTACTTGAATAAATAAATATTGATATTTTCTTGTATGCTATTGTTTATTGCCTCAAACAGAGTTTCTGATTTGCTATCTGTCCACCTAGATTTTTCATAAAAATGCCACATTTTTAAACGAAAAATTTCTCCGAATATTTACTCTCCGAGAAATATCCTCTCAACGTAAAGTCTTAATTTCGCAAATAAACTTTCATATAGATCTCTACAATTAACTTCGATTCACCTATTTTTTTTTTTGTAGTTTATTTTTTATAAACATTGCTCATATACCTCACAGCTAACACATAAGTATAATTGTTTCAGTCCACATCTAAGCGTATTTTAATTTTAATTTATTTGTTGTTCACACCAATTAATGTATGTTATTTATTGAGACCAGTCAAAAATAAATCGCAAGGCACTTATAAACCATATTCGTGATTTCGTTAACCAATTATCGTTTTTTCATATGTAAACATTTTTATGGAATTTTAGATTCTGACTGGATCAATGAATTTATTATTTTTATAATATATACAATTTTTTTATGTACTGTATACGATAAAAAGTTGATAAAATACTTTGATTTTTAAATAACTGGAGGTGCATGAAATTTTCATCATACCTATATTTAAATTATAATTTTCTGCATGGATTACATGTTGTAAATGTCTGAATACACCCTTTTTTTTAATTCGACCCTTTTTGAGCTATTTATTGACATTTTCAGTTTTTAAATTATTTTTAGTTTTTCCAATGAAGTGTAGATAATAATTTTTTAACTGTGTTAAAAAGCTTGAAAATGTAATACAAGGTTCTTCATATATATAGTATTATTATTATAGTTATTTAAAATTATTAAAAGTTGCACGATTTTTTTATTTTTGTAAGTTCCTACCTATTTAATGAGTACAAATGTTGTAAAGATTCTTAAAAACCACGAAAATCTACTAGTAATCTTGTAGTTTAACATTTATGAAATGCTGAATTTTTATACCTAGCTAAAAATTAAGAATATGGTACAAAGTTTCTCATAAATAATTAATTGTTCATCATGTAGGTAATTAATAACATTTATAACCATAATTTTTTTTATAGACAAAATTTAGGTTTAGTTTTGTATGCAATTATATTTCATTAACCTATAATTTATTTTTATGAGGTTTTAAAAAAAAATATATAATATAAATGGTTTTATAACTTTTAAAATTCGTTATTAAAACGTTTAACTTGATTATTTATAGATTCAAATGGTTTAATATTTAGAAAATACTAAAATACTTTCGTATGCATTCAAAATTTCAGATGAAAAAAGACGTAGTAGTTTTCTAACTGTTGATAGCCCATATTCTGTGCTTAGTATCTACAAATCTTAGATCATATTATTTACATTATACATTCTAGTTTCTACAAGTAGGTAAAAATTATGTATAATATCATACTATGGTAGTATTGGTAGTATGGTCTGTAGTTAGTTTGTAGACTGTTGACTGTTGAATACAGAATCTGATGATGTTACGTGAGGATTTCATTTTTTAGTTACGCTAACGCTATCTACATTCAACATAGTACATCTAAGTTCGTACTAGTGGTCGTTAATGACAGTAGACACTGAACATATTTTAAGGAAATACCCCGTACACCCGCCAATCATGTCGTGACCACTGACCAGTCTTTACACTCATTCACTTTATCTTTAAAAAAATATGGTTTGTGGCATAGTATATAGATTAGGTATAATACTATTTTTTATAGTATTCATAATCAATGTTTCTACTTAATGCTATTTACTTTATCACGACATCTGAAATCAGTATTCACTGATGTTTAAACGTAAATGTGAACATGTCATATGTATGTCATGGTTAGGTATCCTTTCCCGATGTTCAATTATCAAGAGTTACCTACTTTTATAAACCTGTGTCTGTAAAAAAGTGACAAGACTCGTGGTTAGTTGTTGTATTTATATTCATTATTTAACCTAATTTATCAAAGACTGTATTAAGTTAAAAATTAAAAATCTACTTGTTAAATAACTTTTTTACATAAAATTGTATCGAACTCGGCCAAGTACATATATGTTTTCTAGAATCTTCAAAGTGTTTAACTCAAATATAAACGTAAGTTGTCTATGTATTTTTTTTATATTTTTACTTTGTGGACTTTGAGATTTTATTACTTAATAGATTCATTATCTGTACAAATAGATCACATAGTTAAACTTACCAATATTAGTGATAATATTATTGAATACCCTAGAAATTTTATATTTAAATAATGATCAATTAAACATTTATTATTTTTTTTCGTTATATAACAATTTAGAATGTGTAATTTTATTTTGCATATTTTTGAATTTTTTGCATTTTATTGCATTTTTGTTTACTTTGAACTTTTTTAACATGTATTGTATAGGTAATCTCAATTACTTTCTCCATTCCATTGATATTAAAAAAGTAATATAAAAAGTTATTGTCAACTCAAATTTGAATTTATTTGCTTAATTTCTTAATACAAATTTTTACCTATTTTGTGTAATATAGAAAATGAATAAATAATAGTTATTTTAAAATTAAATTTTTCCGCTCATTTAAGTATATTTTTTGGTCATTTTGCATTTTTTTAATGCATTATTGTGTATTTTTAGGTCATTACAATTCTAGATCTACTATAAAAAAATAAATTAAACAAGGAATAAAATATTTTTTTTCTTGACTTAATACATAAGTATGCAAGTTCTGTAATATTTTCAAATTCAACATGTTTGTAATTTTTTTCCTCATAGGTTAAGCTAGGTTTGTTTAGGATTGTTTATATGTTAATAGGTCAGTCAGTCTTAAGTGAAAAGTTCTAATTCTGAAGTAGTTTTTAATTATTTTAGTTTTAGTATAGCTTCTTTTGGCAGATACTGAGGTTGTAAGTGTTATATAATAATATTTGAAGAGAATCTTCAGTGTTAAGAAAAGCACTAAGCTTCGTCATTAAGAAAGTTTATGCTTATAATAAATAAAAGTATAAATATTAAATGAGTTCAATTTATCGAATATAATGTTCTAAAAATATTCAATACAGATTTTTGTATAAACTAGATAACAATTTCATGTTTTTGGTGTAAATACAAATTTAGTAGATTTGATAGATTATGTGTAAAGTACCAGGCTTTATTATAAGGTACAGTAGGAAATATATATATATATATTATTTATTTGAATGCATACAATCTGTGAAGATATTTACAATGAGCATGTTATATTATGTGCGAAAAGAAAAAAATAATAATGAACTGTAGGAAATATAAAGTTTGAACTTGAAAATATTAATAAGTTATTTTTTGTTTTATTAGATCTATTAGCAATAATATTTGTATAAAACCAACTTAATGTCTAGATAAAAAAAAAAAAAAAATTGATCGGTATTAAAAATAGCCTATAAGTTATAAACTAGCTTATTAGAGAAATGTTGATTATTGACAGACAGTGTCAGTGTTATATATTTTTGTTTAGTTATCACTTATCAAATATAAGAAAACCTTATAGCTATTACCTTTTGTGTTATTAACATAGGCGTAATTAGACCTTAAAGTTGGGGGGGGGGGCTTCAGCCCTAGAATTTTTATTATAAGTAAATTATTGGGAGGCTCTGCCCCCCATATCCCCCAAACACCTTACATTCATTGATTATACATGTAATATGAATGCAAATTAATATTTAACTATAAAACAAATAATAAACCAAGTGGTATTGAGGTTAAATATTTATGTATTAACATATTATTAAGTATTATTTTAGATATAAAGAATTTAATGATTTTTAGTTTATTGACAACTTCTTAGTAGGGAGTATTTGTTTAGTAAAAATTACACAACATGATACGTCTTACACAGGATCATTACATAGGTACAATAATATAGTTTAAATTAATATTTTTCCAAGATATTAATAAAAAAAATAAAATGATATTTTAAATTTAAGTTTAAAAATGTTACTATTATTGGTGGGAGTGTGGGACTAGGAATTATGATAGGGGGGCTAAAATTTATGTTGGAAGGACTAAGCTCCCCAAGTCCCCCCTAGTTATGCCTATGGTTATTAACTATATACATTTTGATAATCACCACTTATTTCTGACCTACCATTTAAATATTTCTAAAAACGTACTTGCTTTTTTCTATTACTATTTGAATTGTAATAATACAACAAGAAAGATAACTTCCTATTGAAGCTCATCTTCAGTAATACAGCTAAACTTATTATTTTCATTCAATATTATATCAATTATAGACTAAAGTTCAGGGATTTCCAAATTTTTTTATTCGAGGGCCATCTAAAATAAAAAAAACTCTTAGCAGACCAAAATGTATGAACACATAATTTTTAATTTTATAGAATTTTATATTCTTTTAAATATTTAAAAAATAATTCTTATAATATGTCTACTAAATAATTTCTGCTGATTAGTTTAAAACTAAAAATCATGTTATATGGTGTCTTCTAATGTTATATCTTGAAACAGTCATTAAATAATCAATTATTACATAAAATTATAATTATGCAGATTTTATTTTAGGCACTATATTTATATGTCTTGGTATAAACTTTCACCTATAATTTAACATACATTAATTAAGTGTAAGAGTAAAGTCCATATTCATGCTACATAAGACTAATTTTTTTATTATCTATAGTATTTTATCTGTAACTTTGTATGTTGAATAACGTAACCTAACATCTTAACTAGTTAACTACTAAAATATCTCAACACGGTAAGAAAAATATTACAATAATAAATATTAAATAAATATATAATTTTTTTAAATCTTAAATTTATTTTTGATTTGTTTTGATGTTAAACTTTTTATTCTTTTTTTCTATAAGTTAATAAAACCCTGGGTATTGACACCATTAAGGCATTATTTATAATAGGTATATACTCTGAATACACAACTTAATATTAATTTAAATAGTTTATAATATATATTGTGGCATGTGCTTTAACATTGCATTAACATTACAGAAAAATAATATTCTTTTATATTATAAACAATAATTAAAATAGTAAATTCTTAGTATAAAGAATTTCAAATTATTGAAAACATGTATTATGACAGTTTAATGAACTAATTTTTAATGTGAATAATTCTTTTCTTTTGTAAATTTGATCTATTTTATAATTTTAACATTAAATAACCTACTATTTTTCTATGTATGATTCCACATTTTTTTATATTATTTTAATGTATCAAAATAATTTTTTAGATAGAAATGGTTTTTAAATGTAATTACTGAAATATGAACAGTCATTAAATTTAATTGAAAAATATACATAGGTATATTTTGTGAATTATTTATTTATAAATATATATATTGGTGTACAATTCCATAAGTACCTAAGAAATAACCACATCATTTGTAATATTAAAGTTAAATTATAAATTTTGAATTTATTTGTTTTCAAAATTGAAATTTAGAACATAATTAGTAATTACAGTAGTCACTCGTTAATTCAAACCTCAATAATTCGAAAAACTTAAATCGAACTAAACGCCGAGTCCCTTGAGAAAACCTCCTATAATTAGAAGAAAATACATATATTCCGGTCCTTTCGATAATTCAAATTTCCTTAAATGCGATTATATGTAATTTCATATGTATATAAGTACATACATATAAAGAACCAATTAAAGATTGTGTACAATGTATTTGACGTACTCGTTATGAAACTAATAACGACGGTGATTAAATGTTATCGTAGTTTATAAATGTTATCGTACCTTACCTACCTAATCTAAACTTTTGTTAGGATTACCTCGATTTTTTGAGCAATCTGAAATGGATGAAAAAAGATACAATACAATTTTCAATGCTATCAGTAAGTTAGACAACGCTGTGGATCAGATTGTGGCCAGCAATTTATCACAAAAATAAAAACCAGATTTCTTTAATATGTAAAATATAATAATATAATAAATAAATGTCAAAATAAATTTAATATGTACATACATACAATTTTTTATATCTCTTTAATTTGAATTAATTTTTTTTCCTCGATTATTCGAACACTCGGTAAATCGATAACTTCTATGAATCTAATTTTTAACTAAGTCCCATGAATTTTGAATTATGGAGTGACTACTATAATTTAATTATACAATTTTATTATAATGGATTAAAAAAAAACTCACTGTCTAATAAATTCTGCCTTGTGCTATTTTATAAAAATTATATGTTAAAGTTCAATAACGAATTACGGAGTAAAAATTTCCTAGAATACAATATTGCCTGTATAGTATTTTTTTTTATAAGTTATTGAATAAATTTAGTGTAATCGAAAAGTCGTGCACATCAAAATAAATGTGTTTGTAAATAATTATTATGTCTTATTGAATTACTTAATCTTGTATTTATAAATATAAATAAAAAATATTCAAAATTAATTTATAAATATGCAATATATGTGTTGTACTACATCTTATATTCGAAATGGGTACCTTGTTCATTAATGTATGCACGACACGTTTTTATTACGTTTATGGTCAGTTAGTGGAGTAGGTATGTTAAATGTTTACATTAATTAAGTAAATCTTTATTCTTTGTTATGTGACTCTTCAGTTCATTCAATGTTTGTGGTCAGTTTTTATAAACCCTTTTTTTTAAATAATGCCACAATATTATATTGCTACAAATTGGAATCAACAATGTCCTTCGTCGAAATCAAGCAACAAAATAAACTGTTATAACTTATAATGTCTTGCCGTCAATAGGGCTATTATTTGAGACGTGATATGGCTACTAAACTGTCCAAACTCCAATTTTCTAACAAAGTAAAGGGATTTAGGACAGGGGTTTTTCGGTGGACCAAGTAAAATAAAATTCTGTTCAACAATAAACACCCATTGTTCTTGGGAAAATGACCTGTTTACGTAGTAATAATCAAAGCACGAATGGAATCGCCGTATTAATACATATTAGTATAACAATGACGTCAAGATTTAATGTCGAGTGTACCTGTAGTTTTATTTTACAATATCCGATTAAAATAATTCATTACAACTACTATTTACAATAATTTTATTTTTATGTGCGCGAATTTTTGATCACACTATATTTTTGAAATGTTTAAAAAATACATGCCTAATTATTATTTTTAATTAAAGATATAAAGATACTTAAAATTTATTAATATATCAAATTAAATATTGTGTAATTTCAAACATTATTGATCAAGTACATTAATTATTGAAAATAAACCTTGAATTACTTTTATAATATTAATAATGTCTAAAATATTTTGTTTTTTTTATCAATTATCAACATAATCCACATATATATTATTACAACATTTATATATTTATGTAAAAAAATTAAATTGAGTCATGTTACTCCTATAGTCCTATGTAGGTTTTTCACTCATTAAAAATATATATATTATTAATTTTTATATGAAATATAGTAGGTTTTACACATTCATACTTCAGAAAAAATTTAATTGTAAATAAGATATTAATTATATTTGTTGATTGTAATAGTACTAGTGGTAGTCATTTTACCAAAATAATTAAACTTAAGATTTTATTTTATTTCTTGGTTATTATGTAGTATCTTATTGAAGTGTTGTAGAAAAAGATTATTTAGTAATTGTATAAATTTTATAGTATAGTACTATATAATGAATCATTTATTTTCAAGTGTTTATGTTACATCACAAAACTAAGTGAATTGTTAGTTATCCACTTTTATCAGTTAATCTCAGCGATCATTTATTTTCCACCGCAACATTTACTTGAAATTAAATCATCCTTTCTCTTTATTTATTTGGCTTTAGATAAGTAATTATATTACATTTGAGTGAAGTTATTATCTTTTTATTTTGTTATTTGATATGGTCTACTTCAACTTTCAAGATATAATGATTGCAATTAAAAGATGTAGGTATCCTATTTAAACTACTAAGTTTTCATATTTTTGTTCATTGTAAATAATTCAATGTATATCATAAGAAGATAACATTATTTTTTCAATTAATAAAATTAATTGTTTATTAATATTCTTCTTAGGCATTATACATTTTGTTTTATTTCTATAGAAAATGGAACCATTACATTATCTTAATATTCCATCTGAAAAAGCAACCTTTTCTATGGGCTGTTTTTGGGCTCCTGACAGTCTTTTTGGCTCTACTCCAGGAATTATTACTACAAGAGTTGGTTATGCTGGTGGATCTGAAGGTTTTATTCCTACATATAGAAACATGTAAGTTAACAATTTTGTAAAAATCTAAGATGTTTGATGAACTAATAATTCTATCTAATTTTAGTGGTGACTATACAGAAGCCATTCAATTACAATATGACCCAAATACTGTTTCTTATTTAGAGTTATTGAAAATGTTTTGGGATCATCATGATCCTACTGCAAAGTTTAAAAAGCAAGTATGTTTTCATAATTTTATACTTAGTACTTAATTTATTTTGAATAAGTATTTACAATGCATTTAGTAGGTATTTAAATATTAAATAATTAATATTTTTTTATTATATATATATCACCAGATTGAGGAGAGGAGTAATCTAAGGCACATGCCCCCAGGCGCTAGTCATAAAGGGCGCAAATTTCTAATTATATAATAAGTAAAAAAAAAAAAAGGTTATTGATATAAAATGATGCCAATTTCATATTTTTCCCCGGGTTAAAAAAATGTTAGATCCAACTACGTATATATAATATGTATATTTTTATATTTATTTAATTATATTTTACTAAAACATTTGTTGATTTTTAGTATTCGTCATTCATATATTATCATAATGATCAACAAAAAGCAGAAGCCGAGCAGACTCTGAATGAGAAAAAAGCTAAAGGTCTTGATATTCTGACCAAAATAGAACCTGCTGGTCAATTCTTCAATGCTGAGGAGTAAATATCATTAATTTTTTATAAACTATATTTTATTTAAAACAAAATTGAGTTTAATTTATGTATTCAGTTACCATCAAAAATACCGATTGCAACAACACAAAAACCTGTGCAATGATCTTGGTCTTAAGACTGGAGAAGATATGATTAATTCTCATGTAGCTGCTAGATTAAATGGTTATGTTGTTGGTCAAGGAGGAATTGATCAATTTGATTCAGAAGTTTCAAAGTTAAGATTAGATGAAGCAGCAATTAAATACATAAGACAATTAGTGATTAAATACGAAGGTCAAGGATTACATTGCTGATAAAAATTATTTTATTTTTGTACTTTAAATTTTTTTCATGGAATGTATTATACTATGTAACTATATTGTTTGCACTTTTAACATACTAAAATTGTGTAGAACAATTAATGTTTTCTAACAAACCGATAATTGAGTATTATACATTATAATATACACGTATGATGAATTGGTGTTATAGTTTTATATTAATATTGTGTAAAATCAGTTTATTCAAAAAATAATAATATCAGCTATAATAAAATCTATTTATAAAAAACTAATCGTCCAACCTTAAGTTACGATAAAAATTTTCTGAATAAAAGAAAATAATATTTAATTTATTGATTGTTATTTAAATGTATAATAAAAAACAATATCTGTATGTTTTTAGTTTATAGACTCAAAAACTACTTGGCCAATTTTGACAAAAGTTTCATGCATTATTCTCAGAAAATAAAGATATTAAGAAAGTTTAGAGTTGTTTAAATCATGTTGGAAAATATTCAAAACATTATATCCAATCTACCATAGGTGGATTGCCCATCTTGGTTGAATTAGTTTGCAAAGTGAGGTATATCAATGTCGATTCATCAATAAACTTGAGTAGGTATACTAAAACCAAGATATATTTATAAAGCGCATTAATTCATATTTATCTTGTACCAGACAAAGTTGGGTTATACAACTGGCACTGTAAAAAATATATTTTGTAGTTTCATGAGTCTATATTGTTATAAACATAAGCATCAGGAAGCAAAGAATAAAAAAGAGTTCAAGAATTTAGTTAATATAGCCAGATATTAAGTTGTTTTATTATACTTTAAATGAAAGATAATTTTGAAGTTAAATAAATGCAACTATATGCATGCATCTATGAACATTTCATGTATATTATTGATTACTCAAAGGTTAAAGATACGTTTTTAATTAGCTAAACATTTTCAAAGTTTTATTTTATCCACTCTAAAAACTTCTAGAAAATTTAAAATAACAATTCTGCAATATAAGTTATACCTAATAGATAAAAAGCAATAAAAAAAAACATAGAAAATAGGTTTTATTTGAGTTTGAGTATGATAAATTCTAGCCTTAAAATGTTTACATTTTAAAATTAAAATTTTATTGTATGTTTTAATAATTAATTATATTATATATTTATTAATTTATCTAATATTTAGTTATTTATTTGAGTTGAGAAGATTAATCTAGAAATGTATGATAAATATTATATACTTACATTTATAACTCCAATTGTAATTACTTAAAAGTTTAATATACCATTAATATTTAGTAAAGTATTATATTCATGCTTATAAAACTTCATTTTCAGAAAAATATTACAATTATTTCTTACAAAATTATGTTGTTAATAAAAAAAAGATACTAATAGAATGTATTAACAAACAAAAGGGGAACAAAAACATGAAATTGCAAATTAAATAAAAATACTGATTTTTATGAAAAAAGAAATAATAATATTAGGTTATTTAATATGTATACATAATAGTTTCTTTTATCAAGCAATAAAATAATTCTAGTGGCTAGGCATGGCGCGTTGGCTGCTTCTAGTTGTGGAATGCAACTAAGAGTAAGTAATGGCCACAGCTACTAGCTCCCGGATGGGTGACCACTCGGGATCATAGTGGTTAAAAACCTTGCTACACATACCACAGTTCATAACCCCTACAAATAGCTAATGGCCCTAGTTGCCTGGCTTAAGTTCAATAAAAAAAAAATAATAATTCTAGTCATTCTATAAAATTAATTTAGGAAAAAATTGCTGCTATCATATAAAAAGGTAGTAAAATAAAATATATTAGAATTTTATTTTCTAAACTTTTCAAATATTTTATAACTGTTTTATTAATATTTGTATTGCTGTTAGTATTTCGTAATGTCTAGACTCTAGAAGCTATGAAGATATTATTTTTATTATTATTATTAACACTACATGAAAAATGCAGAAGAAAACGTTGGATCAATCTTATATTGGAAAAAGATATTAACTGTAGACTATTCATTGCTGCTGAAGAATTACAGAAAATTGACTTGAGATTTCTTGAATTCTATAGAATGAGAAAAGAAACTAACCTTGAATTAAAAGAAATTATTTGTCTTGCTTTTTGTTATACAGATATTAATATGAGGGAAAGTGTAATTTTCACGTGAGTTTGTAAATAATTATATATATTATTTAGGTAGTACTCCAAAATTTTAACCTGTGTGCTTAATATTTCAGTGAGTACTTCATTCCAAGATTTTTATCACATTTTTTTTTGGAGTAGCTTTTTAATGTGTAGTTGTATAGCTTGGAATGTTTTTCTATTTCATGCACAAATTTTATATTACATTTTTGTTGCATAATAGACAATACAAATTTGATACAAAATACAAAAATAAATTGCAGGTAACTTTGATGCAACTCAATCAACCACGAATAGTTGTCAGTCAATTAGTTGCCCAATCTCCAAGTATCTAAGCAATTACAGTTTCTTTTGGGTCTAAATTATAATTTCAAATAATACTTCCAATTTGAAGGAGTGAAGGACCTCATTCCTCAAGTTTAGTTCAATAATTCATATACAAATGACTAAGATATAAAAAGATGTGTATATTATGCTTTGTTTTAACAATTTCGGAAAATTGAACTAGAGGTATTTAATAATGTGTACTACACTATGTATAACAATATAATCTTATTTATGCATAAATTATTATCATATTAAGCTAAAAGAGGAATTCTTTTCTTCCAAAATAAATTAAAAATAGTAAACGATACATATTATAATAAAAATAACTTAAAAATAATAATACATATGTTAATAAAAAGTTTCACATGGAATAAAATTATCTATCATAATAATCAACTCTACCACCACTTTTATAACTTCTCATAGCTAATACGTTCACTAATTTTTGACAAGTGTCTTCAACTTTTACAATATATTGTTTTTGCTGTCCACTTGTAAATTGTTCACGTACTACTTCATCTTTTGAATTCAAACTTATATTTTTATACATATCCGTCAATACAGGGCCTAAAATAGAGTAAAAGTAATCTTATTTAATAAGAACTAATAATAATATATAAAATATTTATATTTATAAGTAAAAAATTTTATACCTGGAGAATAGCTAAGAATGTTCAATGTAGGGTTTTCTAAAGCCAATACACGGAAGAACATTTCTCTACTAGCTTTACCAACACAATAATATCCAACTGATTTAAATGGTTCAATACCTAATAATGAAGTTATATTGACGATACATCTTTCAGCTGTATCTGAATTGAACTTAGATAAAAATACACTTGTTAAACAAGTTACTGAATATAAATTCAACAACATATACCTAAAAAAAAAAAAAAAAAGAAATTTTTAATTTGAGACTTGATTATTATTATTTGATAACCAGAGGAATCAATAAAATAAATATTCATGTGTGTTCAATATTCTAATTAAGTCAAATATACATTAGTACAATTTGAATAGGTTCCTTTTAAATTTAAACATTTTAACTTCTAACAAAAAAAAATTAATTACTTGTTCCATTCATCAGGATCATTCATATCAGCTGCGAGATGATCCAGATTACCTACTGACCCAGCGTTATGAATCAATAAAAATAATTCATACTTTGTTGAATCAATAGGTTCAACAATTTTTTCAAACATTGTTGCGTTGGAGTTAAAGAAATCCACGCTATAATACTAATATAAAAACCATTTAAAACTTAGTAGGAGAAAAATAAAATAGGTACTTATGTTCTATATACCTCTACCAAAATGTCACTGTTTTCTTTGTTGACCATTTCTTTGGTTTTTTCTAGACCATTTGTATCTCTAGCCATAAGAACAATGGTCGACTCTGGGATCAAAAGTTTACCAATTTCTACAGCTAAACACTGTCCTATACCTTTGCTGGCGCCAGTCAAAATGACACAAGTACGACGACTCCAAAACTCATTCATCTTGAGTATCTTGTTCGATTAGTCGTTGGGTTTCAATTGTAGATAAAGGCTGTTCTGGATTGATCCAAGCAGAAAGTCCTGAAGGTTGAGTAACTGGCTGCTCGTTTTCAAACACTATACTATCTGAATCTACCAAATGTTCTAAACATGACTTGCGAGCTTCACACAGTTGATCGACAATTTGACGACGTTTTGTATTATCGGACTGTGAACTGTTCTTTAGTTTTTTCAATTTTCGCTCTATTGAACATTGATGGTATTAAATATCAAATAATCAGTATATATTGTAATCTGATGCAATGATTACATAACACTTATTTGTATTACGTAATAACGATTAATGACAACCCTACAGATGTGTACTATATATTAGAAAAATAGAGAGATGACTTACCTAAACGCTGTAAGTATTCTTCTTTGTCGGGCAGTGGTTGGAATGATTGCTGGTCGGTAGTAAAATTATTTTCGAATTGAAAATCTACTACATCTGTTGTTAGCTGTGGCCAAGGATCTAATGTCTCTAATTCATTCGACATGCAACAAGAGTCCATCACGGATAATATGGCATTGTATTGTACAATAAATTATGTGTATAACGTATACTCTTTAATAATGTACCTAAACGTAAATTAGTAATAACTAATAATAAGTAGTTAGTAAGTAAATTATTTTATAATTCCACTATGAAATTATCATGAGCTGGCAGCTTTCCAATTGATAATCAGTGTAGACGATAGGTGGTTAGTGTGATTAGGAAATAGTTAATAAGAGTATGGGTGGATTATTGTAAGTTGGTTGCTTTTAGAAAATATCGTTTACTCAATTCGTTATATACTTTTACTGTGCTTTTATTTTCTTATATTTTGTGGTAATAATGATATTGTGATAAGTGATGACTGATAATACAATTTGGAAATGACATTTTAAATACTTAGTGAGCGTCTATAATCTATACAAATATCTATTTTACATTTTATTTTAATTTTAAATTTAAATAATTAATCATAGAAAATGACAATTTAATTAGAAGGTATTTTTTAATCTATCAGCCTATATATTATATTTATTTTACTATTGTAATATTATAGGTAGTTTTTTTTTTAATATTAATAAAATATCAATATGGGTATCAGACTCTTAATCTTGAGGTCGTGCTGATTGAAGGTTTGAGCCCCATGTTGAGCGCCACCTATAGATTTGCGTCGTTCATAACCGTACACTTTCAAAAAAAGGTCGTCGTTCAAAACTGCGCACTTTTATATTTTAATCTCGCATATTTTCCCCAAATTAAATCATTCAATACCGCACACATTAATATATATCAATAACATATACATTTATCTAAAATAACATTATCGTTTAGTACTGCACTATAGTTAATCATATTAATCAAAATCATAAAATCTGAAACTTAATTTAGACTCATACGAAACAACCACGTAAACCGCAGGGAAAAAGAAAATATTTAAAATATTTAAGTATTTTAAATTTATATAATCGTTTCATGACCTAGGAAATTAATTTAATTGATTATTTAAAAACATTAGGGTGTAAATTTATTTCAATTTAATTGTATATATATAATTATTTTTAATTTATGCTAAATTATTTTTTTAAATTAATTTTTTACAATAAAATATGCTCAATTTTTAATTTTTAACTGTAAATTAAACGTGTGCGGTTTCGAACTATTAACCTTTCAAATTTATCTTTTTAACAATAGAATAAATATGTGCAGTATTGAATGGTGTAAAATGTGCGGTTATGAACGGTAAGTGTGCGGTAAGTATGTGTGGTCAAATATTTATGTACATATTTATTTATTTAATTATACGTAGGTAATTTATTATTCAATTATTAATATAATGATATATAAACTATTTTACTATCTTCCAATGTTTATGTGTAAATATAAACACATAATATATAGGTAATAGGATTTAATATTATTATAAATTATCTTATCCTAATATAACTGCAGTCCTTTACTCCTACACCATGGCTGTACATGACCGATGAACAAAGGAAGCAAAAATAGGTATAATGTTAATTTATTTATTATTTAATATTGGACAAAATTACTTGTGTATTAGAAAATAAATACTATATTTTTTTATTTATTAATATAATTGTGTCAATATACCAAGTATTTTTACAATGTTACTATTTTACAGATTACAGATTATAATATTATATAATGTATAATAGTTTTGGTTAGCTATGAGTCTGGATCAGAATCTGAGGTTAAGGTGTTTTCATTGGGATCTAGTAGAATGTCCTGAGGTAGTCGAGTTTTGAGTCTTAGATTTATGAATCTTTTACCGATGTTGTAGTGACGAGCTCCGTCAGGTGTGGTAGGCCTGTATCGTTGTGTAGTTGTTTGTTTCTCATAAACCAAGGGGCCTTTAGTGCTAGGAATTTATTTTGAAGGATTTGTAATTTTTAAATTTTTTCTTTTGAGGCAGCTGCCCATACTGGACAAGTGTAGGTTACTAGTGGTCTTATTATTGCTGTGTAAAGGAGTATAGAGGGCATTTCATTTATATGGTAGAGCTATGATTTAATAGAGGGTATAGTATTCGTAGCCTTGTGTATCATTGGTTTAATTTCTTGTTAATGTGTATTTTCCAGCTTAGTTTTTCATCAAGGTGCAGGCTCAGATATTTTACTGAGTCGTCTTTGTTGTTCCAGTAGATTTATTGTTTAAAAAAATATGATATATTAAAATAGCTACATAAATTGAATCTGCTACGTCTTATTACAGTCTGAGATAAATGCAAGAAGACTAGTGTCAAGTTAAAACATATGGGTATGGGTGTATTCTGAATCGAGATTAAGTTTTTTAATTATGGTCATAATATGTATAATAGGAATTATGATAATACAGTTACTATTGTTATCTTGAAAATAATTATAATGAATGAATACTATTACAGGAGGTTGAATTAATTTTGTCAAAAATATTGCATTTATTATATTATTTCCTAATATTAAAATTTAAATTGTAACAGTATATTATAGACTATAGTATATATTTATATCATACATTATTGTTATTAACTTTAAGTCTATACCGGCTCATCGTAGAATGGTATGAATAAGTACGAGGTACCTATAAATAAAATCGCTAAATTTAGAAAGAGAATTTTGTCTACATTTTAAAGTTTTTTAAAAAAGATGAAAATTTTAATATCATGTCTAAAAAAATTAAGTTACACATTAAATTTTAAATACAGAAAAGTAAAAATATAATCTAAATAGTTTTAAAATGTCACAATTATACTGTGCTTATAAAATATAATGATATACATATAAATTTCAAATCCCCACAAAAAAATATTTTTTAATTATAACAAAATTACTCAAATCATTATTCTTCATTTAAATATTTAATTCATCTAATTTTTAATTTTTAATGTCTATTCCAAAAAATGATTTTAAATTTGTAGTAAATAAATAAATAGTAAAAAGTAAATACTGAATATTGAATAATAATTATTATTTATTAATCGATGTGTATAATGTGAAATTAAGGTAAACTCACACGGACCACTATTGAACGACTTTTTGTGGTTATAATGTATTTATACTGTCGGCAAAATCGACCACTTTTGAACAACTTTTTTGTGGTCGTTATAGAAGCCCGATCCGATGCTTATGATAAATTACGATTGCTTGTAGATTGTGATTTATTATAATACAAAATAATTTACAGTCATACTAAAGAGTTGCCTATATGTTAATTTTTTCAGGCGTTGCTCTATATATCTTTATGAAAAATAAAAACTAGAAAAAAAAGAAAACGATTTAAATTACATTATGTCTGACAACATGTATAATCAAATAGATAGGTAATCAACTCATAAATAAATATAGTTTAACAAATAATTTTTTAATATAAAGTTTAAGTAGCTTATATTTTTTTAAGTTTTATCAATTTTAACACGGTAAACTATCGTGGCAATTACTGTTACTTAGTATTCCTTCATGCTTACAATTATATTTTTTTTTGTGTTACAAACTCTCGTCCGTTATTTGAATGTAAAATATTTGGAGCACAAAAAATAAGAAATATATTTAATAAGTGATGTACAATTTCTTCTGCAGTTATAGATTTTAAAGGTCTTAATTGATTAAACTTGATTAAGTTATCCTGATAATTTAATATAAATTTAAATTCACCATATTTACAAGTTTGCATGTCTACTAAGTCTATTTGATATCGGGAATTAAGTTTACGACTTATAATAGGTTTGATTATAATATCTTTTTTCGGAATTTTTTGCTTGGTTTAGCATAGTTGAATATAATGTATATTATGTAATATTATTTAATAATAATTATACAATATGTACTATATAAACAATTTAATGTTTTTCCGTGTAGCTGATAAAAAATGGAGTTGCTCTTTTGTTTTCAGTATAAAATACTTACAACTTAACAGGTTTTAAGAATTTGAGCCTAAGGTATAAGCATTTTGAAAAAATTTCAATTTAAAACGCTTATAAAAAAAATTGTAGATTTACACCAAACTTTTTTTTATTCCATTATTAACCTGAGAAACCTTATTTTAAATTTTTTGACAGAGTGATAAAATGTTTACCAACATCTACAAAAAAATTTAAGAAAATTTTTGTGTATTTATGGGTATTTGATTTTGAATTACAACTAAATACATTTTGTCAAAAACTGGTATTTCGAATTCCAACTAGTAATTTTTATTTCCCAAATAAAAATGTAAACAAGTTAAAAATGTAAACATTATAATTGCTTCAAAATGTGTGATAAAAGAAAAAAAATTATATATAGGTATTATATATTTTATCTACTGCTAACGGCGATTGTTGAAATGAAGTCCTTCATTGTTATACAATTTTATTTAAATATTAATCTATATCGCCATCTAGTAATAATAATATTTTATTGAAATTAAAGAAAAATCTATTTAATATTCGACTGTTTATATTGATGTAATATTTTTAAACCTCAACATATTGTTTGCGATAGTATGACTAAGTTGACGACTTAAGTATTTTAAATATATTAAAATAATATAATTTACATATAGCATGGTTTTATAGAGTAGACTGTAACTTTTATAA